TCTGCCTCTGTACTATGCATGAGTTTAAAACCAGACTGAAAAACCTCCAATAAATTATTGTCATCTAAAAAGGATTTCAACATGCTCATAGACGCTTTTTCTAAAATCTTCGAGATAAAAGGTAACTTAGAATAGGTACAATTTGAAATACTTTATATACTGCTGGGTAGCTTGTGAATTTCCCACTGAGGATCAATAAATCCTTATGATTATACTGTAATTTTGTTTTATTATTCCAATTCTGAAAATAATTTAAAAATAATTAAATAATTTTAATTATCCAGTAAATGTAGTGCAGTAAAAAGTACATTTGCCACTGAAATGTAGCAAATTCAAAGTATGAACTAGCAGAAAATGAAAATACTGGTTAAAATATAGAATACACCACCTGTTCTTCTAGGTGTGACTGGATTGTTTTATGTCTTTGTTTTATTAACCTGATGAGTCACTTTTTGAGTCTACCCTCACCCCCTACACCACCTACGCCATTTTCCTTAATTTACTAATATATAACTTGCTCACACTGCTGAAACACAATCTGTACAGATGCCTGAAAATTGTAGATAAGTACGTATGTGCTTAGTTACTTTCCACCATTCTTATCATTTACTTAAGTAAAAGTAAAAATATCGGAATAGCAAAACGACTCTATTACAAGTACTGCATTCAAAAATGCAAAATGTATAGTACAGAAAGTACATTTAAATACATTCTGTATTCATTTTACAGAAACTCTATTGTCACTATTCACAATATTGGTATTACTTAATGTTGTAATTTGTCAATATGTAGTAAATTTTAAGTACACACACCTGCTCTGCTCTCTTCACTATAAAATGGTTGTTATCTGGGAAGATCAAATGTTTATTTGTCATATGCAGTTAGGAGACGTGTTTCCCTGCACAATGAAATTCTTACTTTGCCATCCACATGAATGGCACAAAATACAAATGAAATATAAAGTAGATAAATAAGTAACACAAAATCTTAGGCACTTTAAAGCAGCAAATGAAGAGATATAATAAAACTATATAAGAATATAATAAGAGAATGTATGCTACATGGGAGCTGTATGTGCAGTAGTCAACAGTGAATGTGCAATTATGCATGTGCAAACTGAGAATGTAAACAGTACAGGT